AGTCAGTAACCGCCCTGGTCCAAGGGTAATCACTATGTCGCATAACGAGTCCGGCCCACCTGATCTTCGATCTCTTGGCGTAATCAACGGCATCCCTGATATTTGTTCGATGACGGAGCTCGGAACTCCGGATTCCCTTCTGAACTTGTGAGTATGGAGAAATTCCGAGCATCGTCCTTTCCAAAGCGCGTTGAGTAACGCTGACAGCATGCTCATCCTGCTTTCGTAGAGTCCAGGTCTCCGAGGCGTACGTCAAAGCAGGAAGGACAGCAGTGTCGAAAAGGTGAGCGCGGAGCCGGATGTTCATTGTCTTCTTCACTACTCCCTCGATATTCTTGAATGCTCCCCACGCGGCGCGTTCCCTTCTGCACAGTTCCAGAGCTAGGTCGTTCATAATGTTGACTTCCCGACCCGGTCGAATATGAGCAGAGTTACGAAAATTCTCAAAAGTTCCCATTTGGTATAGTTGCTGGGCTCTAGTGGGCCCGTCCACAGAAGAATTCGCATTCACCACAAGGAATGCATTTCACCCTCTCAAAAGTTAACCGTGTGATAAGACCCCTCCTTCAAGTGCATCCTTCTACGCTCTAGACTTGTTTTTCCCCTCATCGAAAATGTGATAGAAATACAGTATTCATAAGCCGTGGACACCTTATGCCTAGAGCAATTGACCTGATCTCTGTTGTGAGGTGTACATACTGATTTTTTGAAAATTATCTAAGGTTCGTGAATTTGGGTAGAGCAAGTTGTTTTGGGAGGTATGGACCCATGCTTTGTGCACCACACTTGTTCATTACTATACCACGTTCCTCACACTTTCTCTCCTCTTTTAGTGACTCTGTAACGGAGACTTATCGGGAAATGGACAGTGGGATCGGTCAGGGTCAGCCACTTTCATACACCCCTTCTTTTTCACTGGTCCACTACAACTGTTTTATCTGAATTGAGATGAGAAGTTCGACTGTTTAGCTGTCATGTGTGTTGACGTTCGCCCTTTGGGGCTGTCGCCTACAGCCCCAAAGGATATTATGTATAATGAAAAGGTGCTTTTAGAGTGAATTTTGGTTAATGGCTTCACGATGAAAGAAATCAAACTGGATCTTTTCAATGGCGGTAGAGAAACCACATTATAGAAAGGTGAAGTATTAGTATTGGTATTTTGGCATAAGTAAGTCCCGTTTCCGGCCGGAATGAGCCCCTTCACTCAACTTCCATTCAGAATAGTAGTGATGTCGTGGGTGGTTTATTGAAAGAGAGGCTTGCTGTGGGCAACTGATGTTCAAGACAGTGCTTCCATTCTCCTCAACGAGTCTGATGCAACCAACCGATCAACTTGAAATGTTTGGTCGGGTTGGTTCGATCCCCGAACTATGCGGGTGACAATGTAAGCCATTTCCCATCACACCACTTCGGTCGAACCGCATTGTAAACACTCTCAGATATTTCCGAAGAGGTAGACCCTGACGATCAGCTGTACGTTTCTCACAATAATCTGGGCATGAATAACGTGATGAATCGATAAGTCGATATTGGCAAGAGGAAAGAAGTGCAGTTGAGAAGCTGGTGGAGCAGTTGAGGGTAGCACTAGAGGATGCAACTGCGATGCTTGTAAGCGAGCTTGGGTTCAGTGGGTAGTCGAAGGTTCTGCCATATAAATCAGTGCATTTTTGTGGTATTCATAAGAATCCCTGTTCAGTCAATCACGATCAATCTGGTGTTGATCAATCCCTTTTCCGGGATGCGTTCCCACATTCGACTTCCATTCAGAATCGTAATGGCTTTTGAATGCGTTTGTGGCCTATAAAATGACTTGCGAGGGCTAAACGATGTACAACTCTGTGCTTTAGTTCCTTACAGACGAGTCTGACACTAATTAACCGACCCGGGAAGGAAGTGAGGCCTGGTTAGTCTGGAGGCCGCTGGGATCTGATCCCCGGACCTTGGCTGTGACGGTGACAGTACGTCTCTTGACGTTGCGTCACCTCTACTCCAGAAGTCATAGCTTCTACGATCCTGGAGGAGTCAGGCTTTGAATCCTGACTTCAGGAAGGCCGAAAGTCAGAAGTTTAGAATCCGAAATTCGATCTATAGTTCGCTGGGCCGCAGAGACCCCCGTACTTCTACCTTTCTTCGACGACCAGATGGTGCGACTGGGAGCTTGTTTTGAGTTTGGGTATGAAGCTTACTACTGGTAAAGCCCGTCCTTTAATGGATTTCGAGAACTTGCTATAATTTTTCGCGACTGTGCANCCCCCCCCCCTTTCCCCACTCCCTTCTTCCCCTGAACACGATGCCTATTGCTGCCGTCCCGTCTCCGTCTCATCTACAGCTTATGTGATTACCGCTATTAGGCTACCCAGTCTGGGAGGATGGCATGAAAGCCACGCAATAAAACTTGTTTCTAACCAGCTAAAGCTCAGGTTGGAACAAAACATGCCCAACATAAGCTGCTTATGTTAGATCGGCTAATCCATTAATACTAATGACTTACATCGCTCAGACCACAGGTTCCCTAACAGCCCAATTACTTTAATGTCCATATGAACATTTGATCAAACCAGTTTTACAATCAACTTCAACGCTAATTAATCAGTCTTTCCAAGTACCCATGCCCGTCAAAAACTGTCCATGGTTGTCTAGGTGACTTCGATGTGATAAATAGCAAACGAAGTGGGCAATAACTAACCTGGAAGTCCATTCCCTGAAGTGAATTCATTCGGGAAAACCTCGGTACCGACACGGTTAATGGCAGCTGTGAAGCAGTGGTTGGCAATGGCTGCGTTACGAGCTTCGATACCCCATAGTGGTTCACTGAAATCGGATTGACTCGGAGATCTTTCCTCGTTAGTTTTGAACCTAGTAAATCCCCTATAGTTCCTTTTCCCCCAAAGGATTCCTTCTCAAGTGGCTATCAACGGAATAAATTGATTTTGATGTTTTTATGATTACTGCAAATGTAGTTTCGTAATTAAAGGGTGTTACATGGAACTGCGAACATTTCATTAACAAAGGGACATTCTTCTATCGTAATGGAAATTGTTTTGTGATGTCTCTGAATTGATTCCTTTGATTTCTTATAAACTACCTAGTTCTGCAATTGCTGAGACGATTGGTAAGACACTGAGTAGGCAAGAGAAAATTCAATAACTTTGGTAGAGGCTGTGGCGTAGGACCATTTCAGCCCTTTGAAGAACGAGTGGCAGAACGAAAGTCAGAAAGCCCCGCTCGGGAGCCCTGAGAAACTATAAGTTGGTAAAGTTTCAAGCTATAAGAAGAACTCCTAATCTCCCACAGTAACCTATACTCGTTGAGAAGGCGACTAGTTATTGCAGCTCAATCACTTTTCTCCTATCCGGGAGCATCGGGAGTTCCCCAACCCTTTCACTTCTTTCAACTACAATGCTTTTTTAAGGAGTCCCCATTCATTCATACCATCAATGCGAGCCATACCTCAAGCCTCCGGTAGTAGCGGAAGGGTTGAAAATGATTTCTGCACCGTTCAACCCGTACATCATCCAGTTTTGAGGATGATGACGTCCATAGCAGATGTTGATTGCAATCTTCCCTAAAACATGCCCTAATAGAGAGAGAGAAATGTCGTCGATGTATTGTCGTTCCCTCCATCACCGTTTCAAACTCAAAATGTTGTCGAGGCAATCACTTACCGAAAATTGTCTGGAAAACTGGATGACCGAGTGTTGACTCCATGTAGTAGTTTGACTGAAAAGAATTCCGGTAAGAAGCCCATGGCCTCAAAGGTGGTCCAAGTTTTACTCGCATGAGCCTCTTCATCAGTCTTGTCGCTCATTTCTCATTCAGAATCTTAGGTGTAACAGAAAATCGACAAAGGACGAGCTAATCGAGCTTTCCGTTACAAATTATATAAATGGATTCAGAATGTTTCAGAGTGTGTGGCCTTACATCACCAAAACCTCTATTCAAAAATTCCTATACCTTCCAGATTCTGCTTCTCGACAGCACCGATTTACTGGTCCCGCTCCTGCTCTTCTCCCAAGACTTCCCTATATTTATGCGATATGGGAGGAATACAGAGAGTTGGATTGGTTAAGACGTATTCCACTAATAGAATTAACAGTAACAGGGGTAGTGTAGTGGCAGGAATCGCACGATCTTACACGCATGGTCATGTGTTTGAATCCCCGATCGATATCCACCTCAGCCATTAAGCCTTCCATTCCTCCGGGGTCAGCTAATTGGTATCAGAATTGTATGGGATGATAAAAGGACGGTTTGCACATTGGTTGGCTACCGCGATTCTGAATGTATATCGAATGTGTGGCGCATCCCTTGGATGGGATCGATTAACGACAAGAGACTTTAACGCTTTTTGAGGCTTTATTAGCTTATGGCGTAGAAAAGGCCTTTTTAGAAAGCATTTGCCGATCGGCATCACATCAATTAAACTATACTATCTGTCTTGCCCTTTT